TAAAGGAAGTTAGTGTATGGAAATCAATGATTACTTTATTAAGCATTTATATCTAATGAGTGAAAAATTTACTCATTTGGTTTATTTATTTATTTATTTTAATTTATTTTTTAATTATGTTAATCACCATATATTACATCATTAGTTTTTGATGTAGTGATCCATGATTCATTGTTTGCGTATAACACCCAGTGCTCCATGCAGAACGTGCCCTCTTTAATACCCATCACCAGGCTAACCCATCCTCCCACCACCCCCCTCCAGAACCCTCAGTTTGTTTCTTAGAGTCCATAGTCTCTCATGGTTCATCTCCCCCTCCTATTTCCCCCCCTTCATTTTTCCTTTCCTGCTATCTTCTTCTTCTTCTTCTTTTTTTTTTAACATATAATGTATTATTTGTTTCAGAGGTACAGCTCTGTGATTCAACAGTCTTGCACAATTCACAGCGCTCACCATAGCACATACCCTCCCCAGTGTCTATCACCCAGTCACCCCATCCCTCCCACCACCCCCCACTCCAGCAACCCTCAGTTTGTTTCCTGAGATTAAGAATTCCTCATATCAGTGAGGTCATATGATACATGTCTTTCTCTGATTGACTTATTTTGCTCAGCATAATACCCTCCAGTTCCATCCACGTCATTGCAAATGCCAAGATTTCATTCCTTTTGATGGCTGCATAATATTCCATTGTATATATACATCACATCCTCTTTATCCATTCATTTGTCGATGGACATCTTGGCTCTTTCCACAGTTTGGCTATTGTGGACATTGCTGCTATCAACATCGGGGTGCACGTACCCTTTCGGATCCCTACATTTGTATCTTTGGGGTAAATACCCAGTAGTGCAATTGCTGGATCATATGGTAGCTATATTTTCAACTTTTTGAGGAAGCTCCGTACTATTTTCCAGAGTGGCTGCACCAGCTTGCGTTCCCATTAACAGTGTAGGAGGGTTCCCCTTTCTCCGCATCCCCGCCAACATCTGTCATTTCCTGACTTGTTAATTTTAGCCATTCTGACTGGTGTGAGGTGGTATCTCATTGAGGTTTTGATTTGGATTTCCCTGATGCCGAGTGATGTTGAGCACTTTTTCATGTGTCTGTTGGCCATTTGGATGTCTTCTTTGGAAAAATGTCTGTTCATGTCTTCTGCCCATTTCTTGATTGGATCATTTGTTCTTCAGGGGTTGAGTCTGATAAGTTCTTTATAGATTTTGGATACTACCCTTTATCTGATATGTCATTTGCAAATATCTTCTCCCATTCTGTCGGTTGTCTTTTGGTTTTGTTGACTGTTTCCTTTGCTGTGCAAAAGCTTTTTATCTTGATGAAGTCCCAATAGTTCATTTTTGCCCTTGCTTCCCTTGCCTTTGGCGATGTTTCTAGGAAGAAGCTGCTGCGGCTGAGGTTGAAGAGGTTGCTGCCTGTGTTCTCCTTTAGGATTTTGATGGACTCCTGTCTCACATTTAGGTCTTTCAACCATTTGGAGTCTATTTTTGTGTGTGGTGTAAGGAAATGGTCCAGTTTCATTCTTCTGCATGTGGCTGTCCAATTTTCCCAACACCATTTGTTGAAGACACTGTCTTTTTTCCATTGGACATTCTTTCCTGCTTTGTCAAAGATGAGTTGACCATAGAGTTGAGGGTCCATTTCTGGGCTCTCTATTCTGTTCCACTGCTCTATGTGTCTGTGTCTGTTTTTTTTTTCCAGTACCATACTGTCTTGATGATGACAGCTTTGTAATGGAGCTGGAAGTCCGGAATTGTGATGCCGCCAGCTTTGCTTTTCTTTTTCAACATTCCTCTGGCTATTCAGGGTCTTTTCTGTTTCCATACAAATTTTAGGATTATTTGCTCCATTTCTTTGAAAAAAGTGGATTTTATTTTGATAGGGATTGTGTTGAATGTGTAGATTGCTGTAGGTAGCATTGACATTTTCACAATATTTGTTCTTCCAATCCATGAGCATGGAACGTTTTTCCTTTCTTTGTGTCTTCCTCAATTTCTTTCATGAGTATTTTATAGTTTTATGAGTACAGATCCTTTGCCTCTTTAGTTAGATTTATGCCTAGGTATCTTATGGTTTTGGGTGCAATTGTAAATGGGATCGACTCCTTAATTTCTCTTTCTTCTGTCTTGTTGTTGGTGTATAGGAATGCCACTGATTTCTGTGCATTGATTTTATATCCTGCCACTTGACTGAATTCCTGTATGAGTTCTAGCAGTTTTGGGGTGGAGTCTTTTGGGTTTTCCCCATAAAGTATCATATCATATGCAAAGAGTGAGAGTGTGACTTCTTTGCTGATTGGATGCCTTTAATTTCTTCTTGTGGTCTAGTTTGTTTGTTTTTTTTTTTTTTAAAGACATTCCAGGTTAAAAGATGTCCTGTTTGATTATTTATAAATTAAACATTTAGTATAACAGAAAAATATTTTATTCTACAAAATTTAAACATATACAGAAGTAGAAAGGATCAGATAACAGAACCTATGTACCCATCACCCAGCTTAAACAACTATCATCCCAAGACCTGGAGTATTGTTTTAATCTGTACTCTATTCCTCACTCCCTATCCCCACCTCCACCCCCAATCCTGATTATTTTCAAGCAACGTTTAGAATCATATCATTTTATCCATAAATTTAATCATGTATAAACACATCTGGGTAGGTTTGTTAATGAATTTCCTCATATTCATGTTGGCTTCCTGCACGCTTTGGCGGCTCCATATCTGACATTTACTGTCCTTTCTTTACCTAATGTGGAATTTTGTTCTGAAGGACAAAATATAACAACTAAATATGGAAAATGCTAAGCTGGCCAGACTTGTTTAATTTTCCTATTACTTCAGTTCATATTTTAGAAAATAGCTTACAATGTGGAAGTGTATGAAATTGCAAGCAAAATTAAAACAATATTTGCATTTTTTTTTTTCGAGAGAAAGAGGAGCTCTTAACCACAGGGGAAATATGAGTTAAAAACTCCAAGCTCTACTCCTCTTATTTTAGGAACATATTAAATAATGTTAAGGTAAGACATATATAACCCAGTTGGAGAGGCGCTTAGAGAAAGTCCAGGATTAGGGGACATTCTGAGGGAACATTTTTCATATGAATAATTAGGTGAAGCCCACACTAGAACTGAGAAATAAGATATTGTTGAAGATGAAAGTCTGATCAGAAAATATTAAGCCATATAAAATATGGTTTATAAAATACAACAATATGAAATGTTTCTTTTGGGAACTAAAGTACTATCTTTCCATATATGTCTGTATACAGTGATTATAAGTGGGCTTCCTCAATATATTATATATATTAACAAAAGTACACGTTGTCAGGGTTGGCTGGGCTGGAGGAGGATGATAATTTTATTATTTAAAAATCATATGTTATTAACAGCTGCCTCTATATGTATTTCTTTCTGCCATTTTTTTGGTCTTTACAAGAACCACAGCTAATTTATTCATACAGTGCACCTAAGTCACAGTGCTTTCTTCATAAATATACAAGTTAAATATTTGGAGGAATACATAAAATCGATCTCTAATTTTTCAAATCCAAAATTAGCATTCTACAATTTATCAAATAGAAATTCCCTGTTATGCCCCTGTTCCAAAGCAGAAAGCTTCATAGACTCATAAAGATTTTTAGCTGAATTGAATCTATGAAATGATCTAATTCAGCTCCATGTTTGGAGCTGGAGGTCTGTGGATCAGATGAATTGTCAAAGGTCACATGACTAAAAAGTGCCAGTTCAGGACTCACTTCAGCAGCACAAATACTGAATTTGGAACTGCGCAGAAAAATTAGCATGGCCTCTGCACAAGGATGACACACAAATTTGTGAAACATTCCATGAAAAAAAAAAAAGGTGTCAGTTCAGAGATAAGAAGGCAATGTTCTTACCTCCCAGGTTGGTGACCCCCCCGCCGAGATTACAAAAGATGAGGGTTTTATCTCTAGTGAAAAATGAAGACAATTATTTGGTTCTTTTACTTACGATGGTGTAGAAATCTGTACCTTACTACTATGACATTGAATACAAGTCGTTTCAAGGAGTTATGTGATTTTTAAGGTTTCTTCAAGCTCTAAGATGATGAATTTCTAAGAAGAGGCTCTGGTTTGCATTTTTTAAATTGAATACTATGTTTTTGCATAAACTAATGTTATAAAACTGTGCCACGTATTTCCAAAAGAACAAATATAAATGCAAAGAAGAAAGGGTTAGGTGTCCGCTTCTGTCTCTGTTGTTGGTATTAGTGAAGATGATATTATGATCATAGCTGTGCTGAAAAAAGAGTTCTAGTAACAGTCACCTCCCCACATCCTCAACTTCTTCTCTGAAGACTTCCTTTACCTCCTTTCCTTAATTAAAACTTGGTTCTACCTTGAATTTTTATCACCTACTCACTCCTCACTACTGTTTTCAGATTATTTCTCCTTCCTTGGGTCATATCTCCAGCTTCCAATTGCATGTCTAGTTTTCTACAGGCATACAAAACCAACTGCTTTGAACTCCCACCCCTCCACCACCCCACTGTCAAATCTACCCCATGTCCTATGCTCACTGTCCCACAAAAAGACACCCTAAGTTTACAACCGCCCAAGACAGACACCTGGGAACATTTGACCCCTCCATACCTCACCCAGTTAAAAGTCAATTTCTGTTGATGCTACCAGTTAAATACATCTCCAGTCTATTCGCAGTTCTCCAAAGTTGTTGACTTGCAGTAGTTCTACTCACCATCACCTCCTTCATGAATGTGGCCACAGCCTCCCTCATTAGACTCAGCCCCTTCTAATCTGTTTGTGCTTGATGACAACCATGTGTAAGGTATTTTTTTCTTTTAGCATTCATATTGCCTCCGTAACAGAAACCGAACCTCAGGACAACCAAACAATTGGCTCACATGAACACAACTCTTGAGTGTTAGAGCCAGATATTCTGACTCCTTATTAGGGTCTCACTAACTTCCGGTTGTCCCTTTTGCAGGTCTGGAGATGTGTGCACCTCTGAAGAACACGCAGTGAAGAACTGAGGCCTCCACAAGGGTAAAATAATAGAAGGCTCTCAACTTGTAAGCCCTAACCGTAACATAATGTTCAGCTGTTCAAAGGACACATTCTGAGTCATAATAGTGGCATTTAGAGGCCATCAGTCTACTGCATTGTGACCTTTTGAGAACCATAACTTCATTGTGTGTAACTTGTTCCTACTTTCCAACATCTCATTTTATTATCATTATAAATCATGTGCATTTTCTGAGAACTTTAATTTTCAGGTTGCCATAAATAAAAAAAAACGAAGCTCTTCTTTAGAGTTATAACAACCAGTTGCCCATGAAGTCAAATAAAAATAAATTACAGTCAATGAAAGAGCTTAGTAAGTATCTTAACTGTTCTTGACTACTCTTTCCCAAGATTAGAATCATTTCACAGTACGACAGAATGTTAAGCAAAGTAAAAATATGTATGTTGGCTCCCATACAGGGCCTTGCCTGTCTTTGTAAGCCTAAATGGCTACTGATCACATTTTAAGGTCAGTGAAAAGTAATCTCAAGTTTCACCTGACTTAAGCTGAAGAGAATAAACAGAACAATGAGTAAGTAGAAGGAAATTCTGAGATATGAAGGTTTGGGGGGGTGGTTTACTGAGATGACTTTGAGGGGTAGAGAATGATAGAAACTAGTTTTCACTTGTCCAAGGTTTTATTCATTCTCCATAATGCAGGTTTATTGTAACTTGATCTGTATTCAGTCATTTTTCTATCAATGTATATTATCATTTTGACTTGTTTTTAACACCCCATTCTTTTTGAAAATTAGAAAATACTTGGGCTCAATATTGGATCTCTATGGGAGATTAGCAATTTAATATAGCAGAAGGCTATATTGCAAAGCTGCAACAAGAGCTCGGTTGACGGAAAGTATAAGAAGTGTGTATATGGTCAAAGGGGGTCTCAGACATCTCATGGATGATAACAGCCTACACTGAGCCTTCTTCAGGTTTCTAGACATATCAGTGACTAAGAACCTAAGGATAGTAATTTTGGAAAACTTTCCACAATTTGATAAAATGTGCCATATTTTCATTCCTATAATCTGTTTCATATATTTAATGCCTGCGGTAAAGCATTTCTCAAGTGTTCTATGGGCACTTACGAATACTTTCGTGAGGATAAAATGTAAAAGTAGCTTATTGTTCTAGCGAGTTCTTCTTGGTGGTTAGTACTGTGGGCATTTCACATGAAATTTCCAATCTGGCCATCCATATGTTGGTATAGTCTTTCCCAAATGTTGGTTTACCATAACAGAAACAGTCCAGATATTGTCTCAAGGAGAAGTTTGGCATAATGTACAGTGTATCTGTAAACAATCAAGAGCCAATGAAACAAATTACAAAACTGCCTTTGGATGTTTATTGCACATGGCACCTATGATTGTATTGAGAAAATTGCAGGGAACATAATAATAGTTTTAAAATACCATTATATGTGTTGAGGTAATTGGAGACATAGCTAAGTGTCATAGACAAAACTGTAAAATCATTAGTATACATATGGTTTATTTTCTTTTTCTCTCTCTTTTTTTTTTCATAATGGCTCAAGGAAGTGATTTTGACCAAGAGGATTGGAGGGTTATTTTGCTTAAGTATAGTTTTGATTCAATACTGGAAAATGCCATTCCTATATACCTACACTCAACTTCCAGTGAGTGGAAGTTTTTATCTTCATTTAAAAATATGATTATGTTGGGCGCCTGGGTGGCTCAGTTGGTTAAGTGACTGCCTTCGGCTCAGGTCATGATCCTGGAGTCCCGGGATCGAGTCCTGCATCGGGCTCCCTGCTCGGCGGGGGGTCTGCTTCTCCCTCTGCCCTCTTCCCTCTCGTGCTCTCTGTCTCTCATTCTCTCTCTCTCAAATAAATAAATAAAATCTTTAAAAAAATATGATTATGTTGGATATACTCTTATTTCAGAAGTTTTAGTTTAGAAAAGAAAATACATATTACCCACTACACTTTAAGACAGACTTTTTTACTTAGTTTAATCCTGAAGCATACTAATACTTACATTAAAATAAGTCAAGATCTCAGCAAACTGGGAATAGAAGAGAACATCTTCAACTTGATAAAAAAATCTACAAAAAGCCTACAGCTAACATCATACTTGGTGGTGAGAAATTAAATGCTTTCCCACTAAGCTCAGGGACAAGGCAAGAATGTCCTCACTACTCCTTATTCAACATGGTGCTGTAAGTCCTTGCTAATCCAGTAAGAACAATAAAAAATAAAAAAAAATTAAAAAAAGACATCAAAGGTATACCATTTTAGAAGGAAGAAAGAAAACTGTCTTTGTTCACAGATGACAGGATTATCTATGCAGAAAATCCCAAAGAATAACAGAAAAATTCCCAGAACTAATAAGCAGTTATAGCAAGGTTACAAGATCAAGGTTAATATACAAAAGCTAATTACTTTCATATACACCAACAATGAACAATTGGAATTTGAAATTGAAAACACAATACCATTTACACTAGCACAAAAAAGAAAAGAAAAATAAGTATAACAAAATATATCTAAGATCTATATGAGGAAAACTAGAAAACTGTGATGAACAAAATCAAAGAAGATTTTTTAAAAAGATCTTATTTATTTGTCAGAGAGAGAAAGAGAGAGAGAGAGCACAACAGGGAGAGAGGCAGGCAGAGAAGCAGGCTCCCCAGTGAGCAAGGAGCCCGATGTGGGACTCAATCCCAGGATCTTGGGATCATGACCTGAGCCAAAGGTAGATGCTTAACTGATTGAGCCACCCAGGGGTCCCAAAATCAAAGAAGATTTAAATAAATAAATAGATTTTCCATGTGGATTGGAAAACTCAATATTTGTTGTCTGTTTTTCCTGAGTTGATCTATAGATCCAATACAAGCCCAATTGAAATCTGTTATTTTGTAGATATTGACAAACTGATGCTAAAGTTTATATAAAAAGGCTAAAGGCCCAGAATGCCAGTAAAATATTGAAGGAGAAATATAAAGTTGGAGGATTAACACTACTGAACTTGAAGATTTTCAACAAATGGTGCTGGAACAACTGGATATCCACATATAAGAAAAAAAAGATTCTAGACACAGAGTTTCACAAAAATTAACTCAAAATGGATCATAGACCTGGATGTAAAAGGAAAAGCTATAAAACTTCCAGAAGATAACATAGGAGAAAATCTAGTTGATCATAGCTTTGGTGATGACTTTTTAGATACTATACCAAGGCATGGTCCATGAAAAAAACAAAACAAAAAACAAAACAGAAGTTGGACTTCATGAACATTAAAAACTTCTCTGTAAAAGGTATTTTAAGAGAATTCAAAGTTAAACCACCAACTGGGAGAAAATTCTTTGCAAAACATATATCTGATAAAGGGCTGGTATCCAAAATATACAAAGAACTCTTAAAATTCAACAATAAGAAAACAAACAGTCTAATTTTAAAAATGAGCAGAAGATCTGAACAGACACTTCACCAAAGAAGATAAGCAGGGAGATTACTGACATCATTTATCATTTAGGGAATTGTAAATTGAAACAGTGAGATACCACTACATACCTATCAGAATGGCTAAAGTTGAAAACACATAACATCAAATGCTGATGAGGATGTGGAGCAACAGGTGATGGGAATGCAAAATAATACAGCCTCCTTGGAAGATAGTTTAGTAGTTCCTTAGAAAACTAAACATAGTCTTGGGGCGCCTGGGTGGCTCAGGTTGTTAAGCATCTGCCTTTGGCTCAGGTCATGATCCCCAAGGTCCTGGGATGGAGCCCTGAGTTGGGCTCTCTGCTCCATGGGGAGTTTGCTTCTCTCTCTCTCACTCTCCCTCTCTGCTTTCTCTCTCTTAAATAAATAAATAAAATCTTAAAAAAAAGAAAACTAAACATAGTCTTATCATACAGTTCAGCAATTGTGCTCCTTAGTATTTACATAAAGGAGTTAAAAATTTATGTCTACATATAAGCCTGCACATGAATATTTATGGCAGCTTTTTTTTATAGTTGCCAAAACTGCGAAGCACTAAGATCCTTTAGTAGGTGAATTTATAAATAAACTGGTATATCCAGACAATAGAATATTATTTAGTGATAGAAAGAAATGAGCTATCAAGCTACAGAAGACATAGAAATGCATATTGCTAAGAGAAAGAAACCTTTCTAAAAAGGTTGCATACTGCATGATTACAACCATATGACATTCTGGAAAAGGAAAAGCTAGAGAGACAGAACAAGGATCATGGTATTTTAGGGGCTCAAGGGGAGGGAGGGAGGGATGAATAGGCAGAGTACAGAGGATTTTTAGGGCAGTGAAACTCATCTGTATGATACTGTATTGGTAGGTACATGTTATTCATTAAACACTTTTCCAAACCCATAGAATGTACAGCACAAGGAGTGAATGCTAATGCAAACTTTAGACCTCAGATAGTAATGATGTATGAATAATGCATCAATTGTAACAAATGTAACAAATGTAATGGAAGATGTTAATAACAGGGGAAACTACTTTCTGCTCGATTTCCTATAAACCTAAAAAGTAAGAGTGTGAAATTGTTTTATTTGAAGATGTATAATGTAATTTTTGAATATTATGTATTTCTTTTTTAAAAAACAACTTTGTTAAGGTACAATTGACATACAACGCTTAACGTGTATAATTTGATGAGTTTGGACATATCAAACACCCATGATACCATCACCACGGTCAAAGTAATAGACCTATCCAATGCCTCCCAAATCTTCCTTGTGTCCTAATTTTTTTGTGTATAGTAAGAACACTTGACAAGAAATCTACCTTCTTAATCTATTTTGAAGTGCACAATACCATATTGTTAACTACAAATGGGCACTACGATGTACAGCAGGTTTCTGGAACTTATTCATTTAACATAACTGAAACTTTATACCATGGAACACTGCCCCTTTAATGTCCAAAATATATAAGGAACTCCTACAACTCCACAGCAAAAACAAAACAAAACAAAACAAATGGAACCTATGGGATGGGAAAAAATATTTACAAACCATATATCAGGTATGCATTGTTTTTTGACCCTTTTCAAAATCTTGTTCTGTGGGTTATTGATTGATTTTTCATTTTGACTGAAATGGCAAAAAAAGTTAAGTCCTCACACATTGCAGTGAACTCACAAAGGTAGCAGAAAATTGCTACTTAATTCAATCATGCCTTTTCGTATGATTCAACATCAAAATGCAATTGTAATGATAGCCTTATTTAGTTTAGTAAAGTGAAGATAGGAGTTTGGAATGATCTTGATTGGTAGAGTAACAAAACAATTTGGGTCCAGTTCTGGTTCAACTAAATTGCCATTTCAAATCATTTTTTTGGTCTTATTTTAATTGAGTTTGACTCACCACATGCAGTTTTTGTCATATGCACTTTGCAATGAACCAGGATAAATTCCAAAAGGCGCTGGTGCATCTCAGCTGTTATAGTTCAAGTTCAGTAGAAATGTAACACAATAAAAAGCTTTCCACCTTTTCATAATAGTTTCTAATGCCTGAATGCATTTTGTATAATTAGCCAACTGTTTGGAAATTGTCATGTAACTTCTCATTTATCTTAATGAAATTTAAAAATCCAAATAGCCAGCTTTCACGTGTCTTCTCTATCTTCTGAAACTTTTCTTAATGATTCTTAGATTCCTGTAATAGATTTTTTTTAAATCAAGAGCAGGATTTCTATCATATGCTTGCTAGCAGTTGACTCAGAGCTGCCTAAGGAAGTGAGATTTTCAGAAGAGTCCTTATGATATGTTTTATTTCATTAATTATCAAATTCAATAATAAATTCATAAGATGATTTAACACTGGGATTTTTTTCCCTTTTAATATAGGACACCTGGTCTTCTAGTTTCTACATAGTAAATATATGATTATTAGGAGTTACGCTTCTTTGTTTTCTTTGAAGAATGTCCTGTAATATTTTTATCAACATATTTACTCATCAATTTACTGATCCACACTCAAATAGAATAATCTCTAAATGTCACATGTCATGGGTTGTTTTAAAGAACTTAAAAATCTTGGAATCCATGGTTGATAAAACCATCCTAGACACAAAGCAATCTTATAAAATAAAATTGTTTTGGCAATCCTATAACACAAATATGAACCTTTGAATCAAAATAATTGACACTTTTTGAGCTAATTTTTTTTTTTTTTACTTCATGTGAAATTCTCAAAAGAGAATTTATAATGTTTGGAACTAAGAACTGAGCAGGTACATATATATGGAACAGTGATCCTCTTAGTATATTTTTAAACTCTGAAGAATCTTCCCACATGTGAAAAAAGTTCATTTTGTTTTCATTCACACTTCCCTATGAGCTGTGTTCTCATTATCAAAGCATACTACAAATTTCCATTTGTGTCAAATTGAATATGTATACATATGTAGTTTACACTTACCCACGTATTCCATTTTAAATGAATTTCTAATACATTTATTAAAAGGATTGGCAGTTTTTAGGAACAGTTAAACTTTGAATAAATTCCAAATGCTAGACTTTATGTCAAATTGAATATGTATACATATGTAGTTTACACTTACCCACGTATTCCATTTTAAATGAATTTCTAATACATTTATTAAAAGGATTGGCAGTTTTTAGGAACAGTTAAACTTTGAATAAATTCCAAATGCTAGACTTTATGTCAAATTGAATATGTATACATATGTAGTTTACACTTACCCACGTATTCCATTTTAAATGAATTTCTAATACATTTATTAAAAGGATTGGCAGTTTTTAGGAACAGTTAAACTTTGAATAAATTCCAAATGCTAGACTTTATGTCAAATTGAATATGTATACATATGTAGTTTACACTTACCCACGTATTCCATTTTAAATGAATTTCTAATACATTTATTAAAAGGATTGGCAGTTTTTAGGAACAGTTAAACTTTGAATAAATTCCAAATGCTAGACTTTACCATTGAAGTCTAAGCCTGAGAGTTAGCAACGTCCACTGGGTGGCAGAAGCGTACCGGGAACGTTCACAAACAGACCCCCCCCCACCCCCCCACCCCCCCCCACCCCCACCCCCCGCCCCACGTGCAGGCGATGCCAAGGTGATGCTAGCGAGCCGAGCAGAACGTGCTGATGCTCTGAAGGAGGACATTTGCTGACCAGTTATTTTCTTCAGCTGTGTGGGCTGTGTGGGCTTGTGTGGGCACTGAGCCGCCATGCTCTCCCACCTGGTAGCCCTGGTGGTGAGCAAGGCGCGTTTGCCAGATGCCTGCTGGAGTGAGACGCTCCAACTGCAGCCGCTCCGGCTACGAGGGCTTTATCTGAGGGAAGCTGAGGCGGCTGTGTGGGAAGGAAATATCCAGTCTCAGAATTACTGGTCCCCTGGTGAGTGAGAGGGCCCAGAGTGTCCTTGAGGGGTCCTGTTGTGTTGATATGAATTGCACGGCTGAAGCTTTTGGATTTTACTTAGCCCTTTAAGGAAGTATTAAGAGACAAAAGAATGCCAATTTGCTTTTGTTTGTAATACTTTGAAATAGAAGGGGGGAAAACAGACAAGGAAATATTTAACTTTTAAGAGCACACAGAGGCCGAATTCATTTCTTTCTCCCTTGACGTCTCAGGTGACAAACACAATCCCGTAATGGTTTTTATCATTGGCCCTGGGGAGCGGATTGTGATTATTTTCACGTAGAGGTGGCTGCCAAGCTCCTGACTAACGTGAGGTAGCTTGCTGAGAAGTCAGGATGGACTCAAGAAGCGACAGACTCGGAAGCGGGACCTCCCACACTACAGCGTGCATGGGAGTCCCCCGGATATCTGAGAGCTAAATGCAGATTCTGGCTGAACTCTCGGCTCTCACCTCCAAGGCCACGCTTTCAAGCTCTGCCTCGCGCTGCGGGGGCTGGACTCTGCGCCCACATCTGTGCTTTGCCGGCTGGCTCCACGCTAGGCTTCTCCGGTCGGGGCGCTAGGGGGACACTGCAAAGCTGGAGGAGGGAGAGCGGACCGTCCGGCGGCTGCCCGGTGGGCATGCCCTCGGCAGTGCTCCTTCCATCCCGCAGCAGGTCCTTCCCGTGGCGGCAACTTCCAGGTTTCCGTTTCTCCAACACTCTCACGATGAACTTCATTACGCCCCTCAGAGACCCCAGCGCGGGCCAAGCAACTCCCCTGTCAGGGACTTCAACCTCTTTCCTTTCTTTCCCCGACCCTACAGGCGGAAGCTGCTTTCTGCCCTTGTTATCACCCTGAGATGCTAGAGCTTTAGTTCTACTCTTTCAATGACCTAGTTGATTGCTTTAATAACTTTACTTAGTTACTGATTCAAACAAAATTTAATTCAAGTGTAGTTGACGTACACTATTAGTTTCAGGCGTACAACCTAGTGCTTCAACATTTATGTACGTCATGAAGGGATCGCCACTAAATCCAGCTCCTATCTGTCATCATACAGAGTTGCTGCAATAGTAACTATATCCCCTCTGCCGTACATTACATTCCTGTGACTTCATTATTTTCTGCTGCAAGTTTGTACCTTTTAATCTCCTTTTTGCCCATTTTGCCCATTCCCACAATCCCCTACCCTCTGGTAATCTCCAGATTGTTCTCTGTATCTGTGT